TCTTAAAAGAGGAACTTCTCATGGAGATTTTAATGAGGAATTTCTTCTACTTATGCATTGCAGTATATTCTCTACAACACAGTCTTGGAGAACCAGTAGAGCCATTGGGAGGTTAAGTGATTTACCCAGAGCCATACAGACTATGTGGCAGAGATAGGACTGGATCCCAGTTCTTCCTGACTCAGTGGCCAGTTCTCTATCCACTACACCACATTGTGTTTTTCACAGTTAGAAAAAGTAATTTCAAGAGGAAGAAAGCAATGACAACTATGGGAATGAGAAAAGATCTCAGGTAGGAAGAAGCACCTGAAGTGTACTTTGATGCCTCCTCCTAAGAGATGATGAATTTTTGAGGTAGAGTTGAGGAATAAATACATTCCAGACAGGGTGGACAAATTGTGCAAAGGTAGAGAGGAGGGAAGAGCTAAACAGATGGAAAATGTTCACAGTACAGATGATATTATGCAATTAAATATCTCATTCATTGAGTTAGTATAACAGTATGTGTGTATGTGTGTGTGTGTGTGTGTGTGTAGTTAGCTAGTGAGTTAGTATAGCAGTATATCTATATGCAGAACTCTAGAGCACATGTATGTATATATGTGTGTATAGATAGATATAGATCACAGATATAGACATAGACATCGACATAGGCATAGACATAGACATAGACATAGGCATAGACATAGACATCAACATAGACATAGATATAGAACATAGATATAGGTATAGGTATAGGTTATCGAGATAGATATAGGACACTGCAGAGTGATTCAGTGGATAGAGTACTGAGCCTGGAGTCAAAAAGACTTCAGTTTTAATCCAACCTCAGATACATCCTCGTGTGACCTTAGGCAAGTTACTTCTTAACCTCCAGCTGCCCCAATTTCCTCAACTGTAAAACGAGGATAACAATAATACTTGTGGATCAAATGAGATTATATTTATAAAGTACTTAGTATAGTGTCTGGAACATAGTAGGCACTATCTAAATGCTAATGATGATGATGATGATAGGAGAAAGAGAATGGGGTAGCTTACATTTGAGAACTGTGCAATGTTTTGCTTTGCTTTTTAACAATCACAGCTTTCCTTACAACAACCACCCCACAGTAACAACAGCAAATCAGTTCTTTAACTTTACTATTCTCTCAGTGATGCTATACGGTTGTGAATTGTGGAATTTCATGATCTCCAAAGAATCAAAGCTGTGGGTGATAGAAAAAGTAATGGAGAAACAGTAAGTAGGCTGTATATTTCACATGGTGATCTATGTCACATGTGCAAGAAGTGGGATAAATAGTACTATCTAGTTACTACACAATCAGGTGAAGATCTGGGCTGATCATTTATCTATAGCAAAGATAGCCAATAGCCATCCTGATGACTGTACTGAAACCAACAAATTATTGAATAAAAACCTAGAGGAAAACATCCAGTATAGCGAGTGAATAACTCCATGGAGAATCTATAATTAAAACATGGATAAGAATTATGCTGGGTGAGCAAGTGTGGGTGGTTTGCAATTCGAACTCATGGAAGAAATTCCCACATGAATGAAAGAGAAAATCAATTGATAAATTTAAATATGGAACAATGTACTTTTCTAGTCTTTTGTCTGTGCAGTGAAATGAGAGTGGCAATGTCTAGACCACTGATAGCTACTGTTTGAGGGTTCTATCAATATTTGGCTATCAGATAACTAAGCTTATGCCCAAATGGTATCAAAACAACTGATAAATTTTTAATCAAATAAACTCCCTAAATGATTTGAGGTTGCATGATAAAAATAATTATCCAATTCCTACTTTTTTATTCCAAATGGTTATGTCAGAATTCCACAGATACAGGTTAAGCAGAAAAAATAACACTGTGAACATGAATGGAATGAATTGGCATATGCCACTAAGTATGTGTATTTTTTTTTGCATACACACATATATGTATAAACATATGTTAGATGAGAGAGACAGAGACAAAGAGACAGAGAGATAGAGTGATGGAGGGAGGGAGGAACGAAGGAAGGGAAAGGGGTGAGGAAGGAGGAAGGGAGAGAGAGAGATAGGGAGAGGGAGCTTGAGAGAAAGATAGGACAGAGACATACACAGAGAGGAATAATTTTTCTCATTTTTCTTTCTTTCCATAATCTGTGGATTTGGCCACCACAAATCCACTTAGTAACGTTCTAAAGAACCAAAGCAGAAGTTCAGTAGTTTGATTGACCAGCTCAGGAGGGCAGTTAAAATGGGGCTATAACATTTCCCCTGGTTTAGGCCTCATCTCTTCTCAGCATGATGGACAATTGCTTCCTTCCCATGGCTATAAAGTAGTAGTAGTAGTAGTAGTAGTAGTAGTAGTAATAGTAATAGCAGTAGCTAACATTTATATAGCACTTACTATGTTCCAGGAACTGTGCTAAGTGCTTTACAATTATTGTCTCATTTGATCCTCAGAACAACTCTGGGAGGTAGGTTTTATTAACTATTACATGGTCCTAGTATACATCTTAGTGGGCAAGTGGTCTACCAAGGAAATGATGCTCAAACTTTGTGACTTAGGTAGGGATGCAGAATTATGTGGTGGATACAAAGTTGCCCTCAAAAATCAGGAAGACCTGAGGTCTTGCATTGATGAAGAGATCAAGAGATTTTCCTCATCTGGAAGTTCCCAATAGCAGTAATATCACAGGTCCAGTCCTTGCCCCCTATTATTAGCCCCGTTTTTCAGAGGAGTGAACTGAGGCTATTTTACTTACTCAAAATCAGATAGGATCTCAGGACCACTGACTACCAAGTTTGGTGCTCTTTCTACCATACTACATTTCTTTTTTCAGTCTCCATGCAGATAAGCGAGTGGACTATGGAGATGGGGGAGGGAGAGAGCTGGAACATCAAAAAAGGGAGTGGAGATGAAAGAGCCCCAAACTGTAGACAAAACCAGAAGCCACTGAGGAAAGGAATCAGCAGGAAAAGTCCAAACTGAAATGTTGGGAAAACAGGATCCAAGTCAAAAAAGAGTTGAGTGGGCAGTCAGATGCAGTGCTGAGAAGAGATCAAGAGTGAGTCAAGGTCAAAATATCAAAGGAATATTTCAGGTGGAAATATTGGGAAGGACACGAGGAAGTCAGATAGCTTTCTGGGTAACAATGTGAACTTCTATATCTCTTCCTTTTGAAAGAAATATAGTTTCCTCATACTTCTTAAAGGAACCCACTTGTAAGAAAAACAGACAGATACAATGGATTTGGGACTTCAGTATCTGTTTGGTTGTCTTGGATGCCTTAGCAAGGAATTGTACTGGGCATAGCCATCGTTAAAGATGATTTCTCTCAATTCTAGTTTTCTTTTAAAAATAAACTCAAAGGATCAAATTTACCCATGTGTTCCACATGAACTATTAGGGACCAAATCAAGTAGAATCATCTTTTTGGTTAACGTAACCCTTTCTTATATGAAAGTATTTTATGCATTATGACGCATGTGCTGGTACATTTAGCCACCGGGGCATGATCAAATGGATAAAGGAAAAACCTCTGGCTTAAAAGCAGACAATTCCTAGCTGTGGATTTAATGTGCAATGCCATTAACATCATCATCATCAACATCATAGTCATTGTCTTCTCCTCCTCATCATTAATAGATAAGTGATCACAGTCCTCAGGAAGCTATTTCCAAGTGGTATAATTTATCAACCATGCAAAAGAGGGATTATATCTTAAAGAAGTTTTAATCAGCAGTTTGTTTGTGTCCATGTGCAAGAGCTGGGAGTGGGAGAGGAAGAAGGGAGAGATCAAGCCTACAGATTTTCAACAAAGACACCTTCATTTTTTAAAGAGCACACAAAGAAAATATAAACCTTCTTGACAGGTAACTATTCTGAGCTGATATAGAGGGGGGCTTTAAGTGGCATTCCAGAGCTCTTGCTATCTCCAGTTTGCAGATCTCAGAATTGAGCACTATGCTTAATTAAAGCTCCAGTGCTTTAGAGAAAAGGAAGGCAGAATAATACTGAAAGACTACAATCACGTAAGATTGAGATTTGGCTGCCATATTAGGGGTTTGGGGAGGGGAAAAATATTTGGAGGGGGAGTGAAGAGGCTGCACAGGAAATTGGAATGTCATCAGATCTGTGGATCCAGGGAGGTCCTTGAGACCTACAGCATGCTCAAACATCTCTCTGTCTCCTCTCTTCCAAATACATTCCTAGGATTTAGAATCTGGCAACTTCTCTCTGCACACTGATTAAGGGAATCTCTCCCTTACCTCCAAAGGAGTTCATATGAAACCGCAGGAAAAAACGTGGCAGTGATCCTATGAAAAACAAAGGTGCCAAGTTGCTCCAAATTAAAACACTCAAAATCCACCAGATAGTGTGAGATTTAGTGGGCAGGAGAAAGATACATCATTTGCTCCCATTGCGTTCAGACTTTCTCTGCTCTCTTCAGAGGGGAAGGGAAAAAAAAGCTTTTTATACAAATACACATCCACATTCACATACCCTGCAAGGAGCCAACAAAGCACTTTGAACTTCTGTTGTCCACTCAGTCTCTTCAAAGGTTGAGTAAGATTCTGAAAGCACTACATTTGAGAATGCCCTTGGCAGCTGCTTGTATGCCTGCCTGGATGCAAGGGCAATTAAAGGATTTGGAGGAGTATTAAAACATGCTTAAGATGGATAGGTGAGAGGAGGGTAGATAGATAGATGATAGATAGATAGATAGATAGATAGATAGATAGATAGATAGATAGATAGATAGATAATACATATTATAGTTATATGTGATGGAGGGGCGTATATATGAGAATGAAAGAGATAGACACAGACAGAAATTGTACAATACAACTTGATTCGGTGTTTTTATTTTAAATTTTTGTGTTTGTTTCAGGCAGAACTCTGGTAGTGGTGTGTTGGGAAGGGTTCTAGAATGTCAGAACACAAAGTAGCAGTTTTAAATAATGAGAAAAGATTCCACACGGAAAGCTCCTCTGGCTGTGGCAGTTTGTGACTGAATGAGAGAAAAGTGCCCTAGAAGCTATTCATTAGGAATTCACTGGAAGCTCTCAAACAAGCCTGGCAGAAGCTGAAATTGAAGTGGTCTCTGACCTAATTTTCTTCTGCATGAAACATCTGCATCAAGGCTCTCTTTGATGTATTCCACTTGGCTCTGTCTACAGTATTGTATCACATGGCTTCAGTGTTGCCTCAGTTTTAAAAGACATTTCCAGCCTGTAGAAGGTAATGTGATGTTACTGTTACCAAAACTAATCACTCAATGTGCTCCCGAAATAGAAACAATAGAGGTTCAGAGACAATGTTGTCTGCTTGTAGTTGTTGCAGGCAGCCTTGGCTCCTGGCTTTCAAACTTAGATCTGTGGCATTCATCTCATGTAATTTATCAACAAAGAGAAGGGGGGAACTGGGAAATGCCATGTAATAATATGTTGGAGGAGGGAATGCTTTACATATGTGAGACTCGAGTTTGTTTCTTCCTTCCACCCATTCACTTAGTTTATTACTGTATTTAAATCCAAGGGGTGCAGGGCGGGGGGGAGAGAATGTTGGAGGACAGTAGTGAAAAGCATCTGCCCTGATCCAGGAGGGTCCTGGTTTTGATTGTGCTGTTTGCTCTAACCAGTGATTGACACTCACAGCTCTCAGCAAAGAGAGAGAGAGAGAGAGAGAGAGAGAGAGAGAGAGAGAGAGAGAGAGAGAGAGAGAGAGAAGGAATGAGGCTGTGTACTGAATTTTCAATATTTTCAGATTCTTTAATGATCTACGAACTGCTTTTTAAAAATTGTCTCTTCCATCTTGAATTCACCCGACCTAGAGAGAATAAGCAAATGAGTCTGCAAAAAAAAAATCATAATGATAATCATCTTTGTTTAAAAATAAAAGATAAAAAGGACAACCATAATGAGGTGTCTTCTTTTTCCTAGCAGAGCAGCTCCTTGCTTTCTCCATAAAGGTTTGCAGCACAGTCTTACTTAATGGTATGCTGCTGTTTCCCACCATTCCAGCATTATGTGAATAACTGTGGTGCCTTTTGTATTCTACCCCCTGAAGAAGAAATCTTTGAAATTCTAAATGACTATGCTGCAGGTTTTAATGTCTGCCTCTTAGAAATAGTCAAGAAATACCTACTCACAGAGCAAGATGCAGCAAGTCCTTGGAAAGTCATTCACTTAGATTCATCTGTCCCACAAATTTCTCTGTATGTTCTTATGAATGTACTTTAGTGTGCTTTACTTCAGTTAAGAATTGAACATTTGTTCCGTAATCTCCACTTCCTCCATATCTGCATGTCACTCTACAGTTAGGTAGATATTAGTGTCCCTCAGACCTCTCAATCTACTGGTCTCCACTCCCCTGTTTTTGGGTGGAGAAACTTGAGGAAGTCAGTGACTCTGGAAGGAGACTGTGTTCTGATTCCTTTTTTTCAAGCATCTACAGAGAAAAACATCTACAGGAAGATTTTGGGATGTTATTCCCTGTGCTATTTAGGTGAATCTATATAGGCTAGCCAAGGCTGGACCTTAACACTAAAAGGATGGAGACTTGGCAATGGAGGAAAACATTCACCTTGGTCCTTCCCTGTGACTAGCAGCCTTGGTTCTCTAAGGGCCTGGGAAACAGCAACTTTCACTTCTTGTGACCTGCTGCTATGGGAGACAGAATTTTCCTTGATCCTGCTTCTCCCTCAGTCAGTTTTCCTATATATCCTCTCCCCTTCACGACCAATCATCCAAGACATGATGCTTGCATGCAAGGTTTCTAAGGTCTCCTCACCCACTGCCCACTCTGTTTTTTAAACATTTCTCTCCTCTGTGTCCAGTGACATCCTAATTGTCAATTTCAATGACTTCTTCTCAGGCTTCTTTTTCCTAGATCCTTTTTGCAGCATCTAATTTAGTTGGTTGTGCCCCCCCCCCATACTCTCTTCACTTCCACAAAAGTGGTTACCCTGGTTCTCCTATCTCTCTATGCAATCCTTCCTGACTTCCTTCACTGACTGCTCTTTTTCCTCTTCTCCCCAAACTTTAATCATCCCCCAAGGTTCTTCTGTCCTTGGCTCTTTTCTTTTCTTTGGATTTTATCCCTTGGAGTTCCACGTCCTTAGCATCAATTATTATCTCTATGCAGATCATACTCATATCCATGTCTAGTCACATTTTGTCCTCTGGACTCTAGTCTTTAATTTCTGATTGCTAGATGTTTCTCCCTGATATCCTTAATAATCATAGGCAAAACTGAACTAATTATTCCTCTCTCTTCAATCTGCCTCAACTTTTCTGTTTCTATTGGCAAAACCAATATTCACCCGGTCACCCAGTACTGACACCTTGTAGTCAATGTTAATTTTGTTCCCTTTACTTCATTCTCCAATCAGTTTTCAAGTCTATCAATTTCCCTTTCTAAAATAAGTCTCGCATCCATCTTCTTATCATTACCATTGCCATCATCCTTATCCAGGCTCTCATTATCTTTTGTAATAACCTCCTAATTGATCTTACTGTCCATTTCTCTATTCTCCAACATAAAATCATAGAATCTTGAATTCTTGGAATCATAGAATCATAGCTGGAAGGGACCCTGGAAATCTCTAGCCCAACTCTCTCATTTTATATGTGGGGAAACTGTGTCTCTGAGAAGATAAGTGACTTCCCCAAGGTTACAAAGTTAGTGATTAGCAGAACTTTCCTTTTACTTTGCAGGCAACTATCACCCTTGCAAGCATGCTGATCACAAAGATGACTTAATTGCATGAATAGTACAGAAAAGAAGAAAAAAAGAAAAGTCATCTTCCTATTGCATATTTATAATGATACCACTCCCCTGCACCCCAAAACTTCAATAATTCCTCATTCTCTGTAGGATAAAATATCTTTACTCAAACATTTAAATTGTTCCATGGTCTAACTCTTCAGGCCAATAATAAAATATATCAAACAAATAGTGTCTGAGTAACATTAGTTCATGGCTTAAATTGGGAACATTTTAGAAATAAAGCCAAGGGTTTTCTGGCATGGGAAAGGCTACTTACCCCAAAATAAAGCTTGCTCAACAATCACCTCAAGGAGGTATCAAAGGGTGGATCTCACTTTTAAGAAAACTGGTTATATAAAATATAGACACATGTATATAGTACCTTTAATGTACACTTGGGGAGAACAATAACCTTCACCCCACTTAGCTACTAACTCATTTTCTAATTTATTCTTTCTCTTCAGGTTCAAAGGCAGTCTAGTGGGTATGTTTTGATACAGTCTCAGAAATAATGGATATTACAGAAATTATGGATATCTTGCTAATTAGCTTGGCTCCCACCATGAAGTAAAACCATGAAAATCTGTTCTCCCATGGGCTAGCTTTCCCTCTCTCCAATATGAGTCCATGAACTTGTGGGTTTATATAAAATCACTATCATTGACCCTGAAATTTATTAACAATACTCATCAGTAACAATTATTAAAATTAATAAGTATTAAGTAACAAAAATGCAAATAAACATTCAAAGTTAGAAGATTATTGTAGGCCCCACACCTAAATTCACCTCTTTCTCCTTTCCTATAGCCTATTCCCAGCTGGTTAAGAGTAGAATTACTAAGAATGGGATTAGAATTTGAATTCTAAATGAGATTTTCCCAATTTACTGGAGAAAAGCAGGGGGAAGCAGTAAGGTATTGTCTTGATTTCATTCTTACCAACTATCCCAACTGCTAGGTTGGCCTAGTTTCAGCCTTAACTCATTCTTGTCCCATGTCCATTCTGTCTCCTCGTACTCTTAAAGCTGTGTATTCATGTCTATCTCTACCCTCTCCACTTCCTCACCTTCTCCTTCCCCCAAGTAGCACTCCCAAACTTAGATAGAAGTCATTTCCTTAAGACCATTGGAGCTCTTCCCCAAACTGAATGCTGCTGAATGTCTGTGACAGTTTCATATTCTCTATCACCTTAGGGATGTGCTTTACAAAATCTCTACGATTTTAGGTTTTGGTAACCTAGTGCTACAGAAATAAGAGCAAACATAAAATAAATTGAAACAAAATTCAAACACACAAACATACACATACATGTGCATACACATATGCAGGCATACATATGCATATTCCTATATAATATATGTATATACGTATATATGTATGTATGTGTGTATATTGCCCTCTATCTCTACATATTTTTTCACAGTTTCTGTCCCTCATGCCTGGAATGAATTCCCTCCTCATCTCTGTATCTTAGAATGATTCATTGTTTGCTCAAGTACATCTCTCCTTTCCATTCACCATTCACCATGAGCTCCCTCTTCTCCCTCTCTCTACTTTGCAAAGGCTCTTGTCCTCATCCCTCAATACCTGCCCCTTTGCTCCAGTCTCTCAATACCTGCCCTATGGGTGCTCCCCAACGCTCTGTGCTGGACTCTCTTCTAGTCTCTTTCTACACTCTCAGGCGGTAACCTCATTAGTTTCTATGTGTTTAATTATCATCCTCAGTCTAAATATCCAGCCCTGATTGCTCTCTTGAGCTATAGTCATGCATTTCCACCTGCCTAGTAGCTAATTCAAACTGAATATCCCAAAGGCATTTCAACATGTCTGAAACTGAACTCATTATTTTCCCAACTACTCACCAATATCCTCTACACTAATAGAGCAGTAGGATGGGGTGAAGAGGTTTAGGGAAAGGATAATAAGTTCTGTTTTGGCCATGTTGAGTTTAAGATATCTATTTGGCATGCAATTTGAGATGTCTGAAGTGGTAGGAGATGTTAAATTTGAGGTCAGCAGAGAGGTTAGGGCAGGATAGGTAAATCTGAGAATCATCAGCATAAATATGGTAATTAAATCCATAGGGGCTGATGAGATCACCAAGTATAGTATAATGGGAGAAGAAAAGAGGGCCCAAGATAAAACCCTGTGGAACACCTATGGTTAGAGGACATGATCTGGATAAGGATCCAGTGAAGGAAACTGAGGAGGAACAGTCAGAGAGAGGGGAGAACCAGGAGAGAGTGGTGTCCCAAAAACCTAGAAAGAAGAGAATAGGAGAGAAGAAAAGGACCAACAGAATCAAAGACTGCAAAAACATAAAGGAGAATGAGTATTGAGAAAAGGCTGTTGAATTTGTCAATCAAGAGATCATTTGTAATTTTGAAGAAAGTAATTTTGGTATAATGATGAGGCCAGAAGCCATATTATAAGGTGTTAAGAAGAGATTTAGAGAGAAAATGGGGGTAAGTT